TTATAATTGTATGAATAAAAACAATTTAAAATAAACTAAAAAAAAAAATTTTTTTTTTGACTATTACAATACTTTATTAGGGTAAATATTTAAAATACTTTTGATTATGTTATTTTGGTTAACAAAGAAAATCACAATGTAGTTCAACTTTAGATTCTGGAATATATCTAATTAGCTATGAAAACTCTATCATTATTTATTCAGGAATTTGAATATGGTATGATTTAGAATGAGTGTATAATGATTTAGACTTAGCGCAATGACATACATAGATAAACCAACATAATAAATTTGAATTTAATAATCAATCAGCATTTTAACATTTTACTACATCATCATTAATAGTCCTAATTATGATACTTCATAAAACATATAATAAATTAACATGTCCTCTACACTATATCTCTTTTCAAAAGAGAACATACCGCTTTCGCGCATGTAGACTGACGGTTGTCAACCGTCCCGAGGCCAATTTCTCTCGCTTTCATTGAAATGAGACATCGATTGCGCATGACGGTCACCCATTTAAGTTTGCCGATGAGTATACACCTAATTCTTATAACTTATTTACAATTTAATAGATATCTGACAGGCGCGGCAATGTAGCATGTACAGTTATATATGAATGCACCGGGTGTATAGCGTGAGCGCGTTCGTCGTTGCTTAAATAGGAGCATTGAACAACTGGTGGGGGGATGCGCGCCGCCAAACCAAAACCAGTCGTGCAAGTGGTATGTTCTCTTTTGAAAATAAGTATAGATAGAGTCATATATGTTTGCTCTACCCTTAATGCTTTTCCATGCTCATGTAGTCCTATTCTTCACGTTTTCTCAATAGTATGAATTATGAAATTAAATTATATTATTTTATTTTATCACCAACTGTCCAAAGAATTTAATCTGTTTCTGATAGAATGTATATTTTAGTTTTCGAACTTCATAGCTCTTATTACCAATGATATTTAATAATCATTCAAATATTTAACCACTTTCCCTGGATTATTTATTACTAATGTTGGTGTTGTTTCCTCACTTAAGAATATATTTATTTTTTTAGGGAAGGATAAAAAAAATCATGAGAATTGATGATGATATTGGTAAAGTTGCATTACCTGTTCCAGTTATGATTTATATCCTTTTTCTTTATATTTTTAGAAGTGTCAATTTTAATAACTGTAATTTATCACAGTAAAGTTTTTTTTTAAAAAAAATCAAAGTAAATGTTTTTAATTTAATTTTTTAATTTTTAAATTGTGGTTAAATATCTATTTGTAATATAAATTAATATTGTAGTACCTATTTAATAATATTAAATAATAATTAAGTGTTTAATTATAATAATGTTAACTTTGAAAAATAATATTTATAAATTCAATGAAACTTTTATACATCAGTCTCATGGGGAATAAAAAAATTAATTGTATTATAAAGTAATTCATGAACCCTTTGTAGAAAAAACCTAAAAAACCAAACCTAGAAAAAATCAAAAAATGTATATATATATTTTTTTTTCCAGTTCCTTATGTTTTCCTATTATAAGAAAGAAAATGTTTTGAAAACGCAAAAAATAAATCCTTCATCCTTTTTTGATCTGGGACTTAAGAGTCATGTAGGAATTTTACTGTCAGGATTTACAAATCCCATCATTCATTTAGGTGATTTTTTTTTTTTTTTTACATACAAGAAATGAGTTTTTATTATAAACTTAAGGGGATCTCTTCATTTTATTTTAAAAGAATATAAACAGTTATACTTTCAAACAAGCTTTTGAAAATGTTAAAAGTTTGGAAAAGATTTTATATTTCAAAATTATCATAATATAGTTTTTTTTTCTCCTTCACTAATATATTTATGCTGCAATATAATCATACAATGTTCACTATTATGATTGGGTTCACCTACATATTTACATATAAATATGAAAAAAAAATATTTAAAAATATTAAATTTCTTATTTATTCAATAAATTGATAAATAATAAAAATGATGACATAATATGATTTGTATTTAGAAAATTATACATTATTTATCAATCAAGTAATAGAATTCCTTAATGATAAGTTTACCTAGAGCATTGGAACTTTTTGTTTCGTCGCTTTTGGTCAAAGCTGGTGGTATTACAATACAAAAAAACGCAAGAACTCTAACTCTTACACATTTGTAAGAATTTATTATTGTATATTTAATTTTTTTATGTTTAATTTAATGTTTCACTAAGTTATGGTTTTTTTTTTTTTTTTAGAAAACAATGCATTAATTCAGATGATCGGCTTGATTTTCTTAAAGACCTTTTGAAAGACATTCCTGAAATTACTGAAGAAGCTAACGAAATGAATAGACCAGATTCACCTGTAAATAAGAAAAGGCGAATTACAGACGATGATGATGAAAGTGAAGAAGAAGTGTAAGTTTTATTCAAATCCTGTTTAAATAAAAATATTTAAAATTGGAAAAACAATGTTGTTAAAAGACACTAACTTAATGTATTTATTTTTATATTGTTAATTAAATAATGTTTGGCTTTATGAAAATGTAACGATGATTTTAGAAAATCTTTAATTTTTATATTTCACTTTTCAATTTTTTTAATTCAATGTTGATGGATACTTAATTTACTACTTAAGTTATTTCAATATTATTTTTAATTTGGTTGATGAAAAAATTAATAATTTAATTACTAATATTAAATATTTCATATAGTTAACTTACTTAGTATTATGAATTGCTCATCTTTAGTTTATGTTTTAACAAAGTGGAATTGATAAAATATTGATCATTAACCAGCAAATAACATAACTTAACATTATAAATTATTTCATTGATGGAAAAAAACATAAATACATTTTAAGATTTATATTTTTATACAATTATTCTTTTATTTATTTTAATACAAATATTTCTTCTCAGAAAAAAAAAATATGAATGTTAAATTTAAAAATAATTAGAAAACAGACTGAATATTTTACTCTTGTCATTACTAATCTTTTATCTTTTTATATTCGAAAGATTAGGTGAGGTTAGCTATGTAGAAGAAATTACTTCAAACTTTATTTATAATCTCTGACACCTAAGAGGTTTGTTTGTATGATTTATATATGTTTGAAAGTGTTGATTAAATATCACATTTAATTTATAAGATACATACAAATGTAAGTATTAATAATCTATTAGTATCTATAATTATATATGGATTTTGGTATTGAGAGTATCTCATTAGTATTTATTGTATTTATCTTAAAATAAGTTATCTAATGTAAAAACATGTACATTATTTTGTCTGTATGATAAAAATTATAATAATGTCAATTTAAATTATGATTGATAAAAATATTTATAATAAACAAATAATTATAGTAAAAATATAATTAAATTAAATGTAGAATTGATTACTAATATTAAAATTATAAATATATTTTCTGAATTATAAAAGTACATTAATTAATTAAAAAATCTATATATATATATATATATAGTATCATTGGTTTAATGATTACTGTGCAGGACTATATAATAATTATTGAAATAATTTAGCACAAACTTAAAAAGATAGGTAGTTAATTAACAGAATACTTATATTTGAAATAATTATAAGTCATCATAATTTGGGTAAAAATAGTTATCTGGTATGTAAAGTTACTAGTAATGGTAATGACAAAATATGAAATGTATTACATCATAATTATTACCAAGCAGGATAAATATCGATATATGGAAATTTAAATACAAAATGATTAAATTAAAATTTAATAATCTATTCTGTAATTTAATTAACGTTCATGTATAAATAATTTTTTATTGTAATATGAAATTATAGAACTAGCCATTAGGTTAATATTTATTTATTGTATAACTATGACAATAATAAGTTATTGATGCGTTACTTGCGAAGTATCTTAGCTTCACGTTAATTTTATCCATGCGTTTATTATTATTGCTAATCGAAAAAATCATTATTTATTAGATTATAACTTACATTAAATTTTATTTTTCAAGAAAATGTTTATTTTATATAAAATAGCTCTAACATTACCTTTTAGTTTCTCCATGTGTAAGAGAAGCTTTTCTGATATGCACCAATTAAAAACATAATTACTAATCCATTTTATAGAATAGATTCAATTGGGTGAAAAAAATAGTTCTATACAGGTAATTTTTAAGCAATTTTCAGATGAATATAAGTATGCTAAGTAACTATAAATAAAATGTTAAATTAAATTAAAATTTGTATGTTTTTGTAAAATACTCGTAATTAATTTTGATGTATTTTTATAAATTATTAGTGATTATTGTAAAATAAAGATAGAAGTGGTTTGGGCTTTATTTAAATTGTTAGCTTTTCCCTCCCCCCCCACCCTTATGATAACCCAAATTTATACCTAAGTTAAAGCTAAAGCACTGTAACTATCTTTTGTTTAATATTAGGTGCTTTACTTGTAATTATACGAGTTGCAACAATAATGTATATATATTTTACTGATAATATTTTTATGCTGTTAATGTAAAAAGCTATAGTAAAAAAAATATTTTCTTTTTTTTTCCTTTTTACCCTTTAATCTTCCTATGCAAAGCATTTGATGCTCGTATATCATGCTTATTATACAACTAAACTAATATATTGAAATAATCTATTAACCTTTAAATTAACACTATATGATTCAAATTTATTAAAATTTGAATAAAAAAAGTTGAATAACTTACATTTTTCTAACTACATTAGAGTCCTTAAGTCCAATTTTGAAAAAAAAAAATTTTATCAAACCGTTTTCGAATTATAAGTTGTATCTCTGAGGATATATTATTAGAATGCCTTTATTTTATACATAGTAAGATACATTTTTAAGATCAAGATTAAATATGGAAAAGGTTCCAACATAGTATAAAAATACTTATTAATTTTTATTTTCATAACCTTTATTTTATTTTAAAAAACTGTTGCTATTATTTAAAAATAAAACTATTTGTTGTGTTTTATTGCTATAGTAAATATTACTTGAATAAAATTACAATTGAGAAATATATTTATAAAGGCTTAGAATGAAATTTGAATGATAATATAATTTGACTATATGTTTTCATTTAATAAAATAAAGATTATTATTTTTTAATTTTTTAACACTAAATGAACACTATTGAACAAAATAATAACTTAATAAATTTTGTCACTTAAAATTATTCATAGATCAGTATTATAGTTAACAGATTAAATTAAATATTATATACATTTTAAGATCTTAATATTTTTAATTCATTTAATAATTAATACATTTTTATTATCATTTTTTTTTTTTAATTACAGATATTTTAGTTAATCTATCAATTCACAAGATACATACATACATTAATCAAGTTACCGATATATGATGTCTTAAAATACTAACTGTCAAGAAGAAATCCATTAAGAACTGTGAAAGAAAGTGTTTCATTTTTATGATTCAGAGTATTTAACATGACCTATTCTTTTGGTTCGATGGGATTTCTTGACAAATGTATTTCATACTTATTCATATATATTCAAAATTATTAATGTTTTTTTATTAAAATAGTAATCTCGATTAAACATATGTTTGTGTATCTACATATAAGAAATTTTGTATGTACACTTGAAAATTAATTTTTTACAATTTTATAGTCTAATTTTAATTTATAAGATGTTTCAAAATATTTTTTTTATTTTGCTTAAATATTATAAAATTCTAAATAACTTTAGCAGGGTATAAATACAAGCAATACATTATTATTCTATTAAACTATTTGATATATTTAGTTACAAAAAAAAATATATGTTATTTGTTGTATTTGTGTGCTAAAAAATTATGTGAATTATAAATTATGATAATTAGTTTTATAATATTTTGAAATATCTTATATTTTATAACAAATTTAACATATTAAACATATGATAATATTTTATTACAATAAGCCTGCTATTTGGTTATAATTTTATCATATATAATTCTAAGCATTAAAAGTTGTTAATCTTAGATCTATCAGTTTTTCTTATATAAATATAACTAGTTAAATGTGCTAGTTACAACAGTAATTTTCGTACTTTTATCACATTTCTTCTAGTAAAATATTCAGTTTTGTGTCTTAAGATAATTATTTTTATACGATCTATGAATTCATAATTCATAACTTATAAGTTTAAATAATTATTTTATAGATACTTAAAATATAATTTATATGATAGTCTTATTTTTTAGAATTTAAGTATGTTGAAATTAATATTTAGGTTCATGATACATTTAATTGTATTTTTACTTCTAAATATCATTATTTCAACATTTATTTTTATTAACATTTAAAATTTGCTTACAGAATATAATTAACTTGACTTAATACAAATAGTTTGTTATTATTTTTTTTATTAAAACACTCATTGCAATATTAATAGTCCTAAGCACTGATGTAAAGGAACATTAATCAAAACATGTTTGTATGAATGTTATAGTTTATTGGTCATATTATTGTCATTCAAACTGAATTATTTATTTTAATAATGTTTTTATCAAGTAGCTTACATAGTATTTTAAACACGTTCATATCTACGCAAAAGAAAAAAATTAGGCTATCTTTAACTCAAAATTAACCTCTACCTTTTTAATGTTACATTTATTATGTTTTCTTTAGTATTATCTATTTATCTCATATTAAAATTACTATAAAAAATATTCAAATTAATTAAAATTTTAAACTATTCCTTTAAATTAGCTCAAAATATAATCAAAATATGTTATTCCAAAATAATTTTTTTTTTATATATATAAATTAGTCACTGTGATTTTATTTATATAGACAATTTATGTTCCCAGTATTATTATGTACCCCTGTTTTACTATTACTTTAAAAATATAGTGATTGATTGAGTCTGTCAAACTTAAATTAGTATAAAATAAGAAGACTATATATAAATCAGGTATGGGCAACATTGTATTAATTATTTAGTTATTCAATATTAGATAAATTTATTTCCCTATCTAGATATAAGATACTAATGCTATATTATACAAGTTAAACAATGCCTACATTTTATGTTTTTTTTTTTTAATACTAAAAACTCTATGCATTCAAATTAATTTTAAAATTTTATTTTATTCTTATTACAATATATTTACTATTCCAATAAGAACATAGGTTTAAGATAGTAACCAACAATTGAGTTCATAATCAATGGTAATATCAAATAAATAAAACACTATTCTGGACACTGAAAATGATCAACTAAGTATAAAATATGTATTGTTATAAAATATTAGTTTATTAGAATGTATGAAGTCAGCATTTAATGTTTAGTTGAAGTATAATAATAATAATAACAGTTAGGGTAATTACACAAAAAAAATGAGGTTGAAAATACTATATTATAAATTCAATAGTATACACTTTTTAAATATTAGTAGTTAATATTTATTTAAATTTAAAAAAAGAAAAATTATTATTTCGTAATTTTTTTAATTTATTGAATAACTATTTGAATTTCTCATTTAATAGTATTGGTAGTATCAGAGTACAAGATAATCAATACCTGTAATGACCCACCCTAATAGTTTTTAATGTGCAGCTAATATTGATGTTTTGAAAATTAGAATATTTATTATCGTTATAATTAATTTTAATTTTTTTTTATCATTATTTTGCATATTAGTACATCTGATTCATTAGTAGTTTTAATGTTATCTATTTACATTAAAATAAAATTCTAAATATCTCATTAACATAATTATTAATCACAATAAGTACTTTATAAGCATTTAACTCAAAAATAAATGTAATTAAAATAATTTATTTTTTAATTTAAATTAGTAAATTTTAATGACCAATATTATATGAAATTGTATTTTGTTAGAAGTATATATAGGATTAATATTATTTTAATGACTTGCAAATCTTGTAATATTAATTCATTATAAGTCGAATGATAATTAATTCTGAAGTTTCGGAGAATGGGATAATATGGATTTAAATAAGTTCTGGTTCTAGCATTTTCGGGGTTTTTTTTTCCTGGTGATGTTCTATTCGAATTCACAAATGGACTTAAGTGTATTATGTGTTTGTAAGTTACTGAAGTGTGTATCAACTATCAATACGCATTGGTTTTTTTTTATTCTATTGCAGATTTTCGCTGGACCCCCCCCCATTCTATGACGTAGATGGAGATGTGGAATTCGCCGATGACTTTTTTGATGAGATCGACGACGGTGGCCATGGCGACGACGACGACTGCGTTGACCGCAGTGGCGGCGGTGGCCACGGCGACGACGACGACTGCGTTGACCTCGGCGGCGACGGTGGCCACGGAAACGACGATGACTGCGTTGACCACGGCGACGGAGGTGGTGGTCACGGCGGCGACGACGACAGCGTTGACCTCGGCGGCGGCGGTGGTGGTCACGGCGACGACGACGACTGCGTTGACCACGGCGACGAGCGATTAAATACAGCGGCAGTGCAAAAAGCAATCAAATTATCCTTGTTTGTGGAAGACGGAGATAGTGGAGATGGTATTCGAGAAACGATCAAATCACCGTTGTCGACGAAAGAAAGAACCCGTGTAAAAGTGGAGCAAGAAACGATCGAATCTCCCATGTTTATAGGAGAAGGAACCAGTACAGAGGTGATACAAGAAACGGTCAAACCGCCGTTGTTTATGGGAGAAGGAACCAGAGCAGAGTCAATGCAAGCGCCGATGATTATGAGAAATACACCACGTATAAGGGCAATGCGTAGAAATTTGGATCCGCCCACGTACCCAGAAGGAGCACCGATCGAGTCGGCCGAGTTACAAAAAGAAATTGCTGAATTAGAGGCGTTGCAAGAAACGATCAAAGCGCACCTGATCATTACATGCGAATGCTGGGGAGCATCGCCCGTGAGCGTGAAGGAAATGTTCAGGCGGTACGGTCGTACTATGCCGCCGGAATCGCAGAACGTGAACGTCGTCGCGGAGTATCTCAGCACGGTGCGCATGATGCTGTCCAAAAATCGTCTCCAAGTCATAAATAGCCGGTGTCCGGAGATGACCAACGCGTGTAATGCACTGATCAGCAACATCAAGTGGAGGCAGAAAATCTTGGCCATATTGTCGGCCAAGAACGATTACTTAAGATACAAAGCGATGTGCACAATAAACGAGATCTTGCTGCATTTCACTTATGACCACGACGAGACTCCCGCACGCTTGTACTACAATATAGCCCAGATGATTTTGAACGAAGCCTATCGAAACGCTCGTATAGCAACGTTGCAGACCCTAACGATGATGCTCCGGACGCATGACCACGACCAGCTCGCCCCATACACCAAATCGATAATGCTGCATCACTTGCAGAAGTATTGGAAATCGATAGTCAACAAAATCACTTGCTGCAGGGACAGATCGTTGTTGGAACTGCTGGCACTGTGGGACGCCGTGTTCGCCGCACTCAGGGAACCGAAAATCATGCGGGCGGTGGACGAACACCTCGTGCACTCTTACACCTCGGGCTTGTCCAAGGTCGAGTCCGTGTTGCACGCCGAGGACACGCATCCGCTGGTCTGGATGAGAACGATTCGGGTCCTCAGCGCCGCGCTGACCTCCCGCACTGGCGCTACGCCACGCTGCAAGCTCCTGTTAGCCCTGGCCCAGACCTATCTGATCGGGTTCCACAGAAACCGGTTGTTACGCACCCTGCACCACATAAAGGACCGTTTCGCATGGCCCGACAACCAGACCATGGGCTTGCAGGACGTCTTGCTGCTCACGATGAGGTCGATGCGCGTGTACGTGCGGAACTGCGAATCACGTACTAAGGCCGTGGCCATGGTCTTATACACCGTAGAGCGTATCGAATTATACGTCAAGTCGTGCCGGATGTACAATGCGGACATGCCGTTCAGCCGGTGGCTGGTACACATGATGTACAACCGGGACGACGTTCTCGTCGAATGTCTGCTCACTGCTGTCGACATAGTGCAAAGGTTGCCCGTCACCCGGTTGCTGCTCGATCCGTTCTGGAGCTTCCTCGAGCTGGCGTTACGCGGGGCGTACAATCCGGACCTGTTCTTCGACTATCTGATCTCGGACGAGACCGATTTCCTGTCGTACATTCTCAAGCTGCTGAAAGTCATCCTTGACAACAGCCAACGTTTCTTTCTCTGCTGCGGCAACAATTTGCCCCGTATCATGGAGTTACTAACCGTGCTCCGGACAAAAATACGCCTTCACCATTTCCCGTATAAAATCGAACCCGTCGCGAAGCTCATTGATAATTGCGTAACATTGCATGAAAAATTCGAATTGCCCACCACCCGTTTTACTATTGATCATTAGTACGGAGTACAGTTTTTATACTTTGTTCCTTGACTTGGCATATATGTGTTCTTTTTAAACTTTTTTCATTTTAAACCAATCGATCACCTTTTTATTATTTTCGTGTGTCTTGTACCGTTTTAATATTATGTATCTGTTACAGGTCATGATTGCGTATAACGCTCGATTTAACAACTTCAATTCTTCACTATATTATTAATATTTTATCATTTGAGAATGTTCAAAGAATATTTTAAGATACTTTTAAAATAATAATTTAATAAGTATAACAGTACAAACATTAATTCCTTAATATTAATCACATTAATAATAAATAATGATATCAAGTGAACCACCCATATTATTATTTTCGTGTGTCTTGTACCGTTTTAATATTTGTACCTATTGCAGGTCATGATTGCGTATAACGCTCAATTTAACAACTTAAATTGTTCCCAATATTAATAATATTTTATCATTTAAGAATGTTTAAAGATTATTTTAAGTTTATTTTTAAAATTACTATTATTAAAATAAGTATAAT